ATTATGAATCTTGTCATTCTTTACTTTGTAATCGGGTTTCTTCTTATATGTTTTTTATAAGAAGAAAAACATTATAGATATCTGTCTTTCAATATAACTATCTGTTTTTACACTGATATTATGTTTCGCATATTCCTTTATAAAAATGTTTTATAGAAAACGAAAAAAAATATTAATAAAATGAACAAACAAAGAATACTGTTCAAGGTTAAATTTATTTTACAACAATATGATAGGTACGTAGTCCTATAGATCCTATTCAATAGTAGGTACTTATAATACCCATTCAATTTATAAGCTCATTTTCCAAAATTTGATTGATTGGTGCCATATTATTAATGGTTTAAAATATACGTGACAAATAATAAAAATATTGTTGAAAAGTTCAATATTTTGATGTGGTTGAGTTTGAACGTAAGGTATAATAAGAATTTTTACTCTAGAATTTGTTTTAAAAACTTAATACTAAATAGTTTTTTACTAAAAATGAAATGAACATTTTAATTTAAAATGTGTAGGTATATTTCTCATCATGGTATTTTTTATTTTTAATGACTAAGTGGCTTTAAAATATTGTTTGTTATGAAAAAAATTTCATATTACTATTTATAATTCTCAAAAATGTATTTAAATTTTTTTTATTAACAGCACTTTATAGAATTATATCGGGCATACCTACGCAAATGTTAAAATTACAAAGGCGATTATAACTTATGCAATTCATGTCATTTATACTTAATAAATAATATTAAGTTTTGATCCCTGTATAATTTTAAATAATCACAATCGTTTTTTTGTATTAATTATATGTGTCCAAACTTGTTTAATTCACCTGCCGCAAAATTAGTCTGTCCTTCAATTTTTAACAGTTTTTTCTTATTGATTAATTTAAAGCATTCTCTTACTGACAACTGACCAAAACACTTTCTGCATAAATTCTGTTTAGGTACCTACTATATCTATTCGTATGCTCATTATTATAATATGCATATTGCGGTTTTTAAATTAAAAAATTAACCGTCCTTATAATTATACTTTAAAAAGTATCTATATTATTGAATCGATAATAATAAGTAAAGTTGACTGTTGACTTGGGTAGACTGCACGTTGTCTATTATACATAATTATCTAATTCCTATGTAAAAAGTGTATTACTATCGGTTAAATTTAAATGAACTATTAAATACCATAAAGTTTAGTATATATAGTTTTTGATCATATTGCATTTGTCTATTTAGGTTGAAAAATTAACCATACAATATGATAAATACATCCATGCGGTATACATAAAAAATAAGAAGCTTTGATAGTTATAAACACTGAAAAATGTTAGGTCGAGATAGTTATTACTTATTTATACATTATAAGATGCAGACGATATGTCTAAACATGTTGTCAATAAGTATACAAAACCTGCAACTAATTAAAATGTGTATTGAGTGTACAAGATAAATAATAATATTAAATGAAAATAATATATGTAGTCACGAAATAAAATGTATATACATATGGTTTAAAATGGTAATTATTTCATTATTGCCATGTATAATATTATATTTTATTCAAAGTATTCGTTGTTTAAACTTGTAATAAGTATAAAGAATAAAATATAATATATTATAATAATTAAAAACTAACAAAAAATATTTGAACCCGAACTTCGTGTATTGAAATATAATAATATACATTAATATTTGTGAATGATACGCTTATAAAACAAAAAAATGTCAATTACTTGGAACACTGTGTATCTTTCGATTTGTATAAACTATATATTTATTATGGTTATTAGTATTATTACTTAAAGAAATTATTATGATGAAAGCGTGTAATAATTAAACATTAGTAAGTTAATGGGCATTTAGTGATCAATAAATTATAATTTATAACAGCTTAAAAAAGTGCACAGTTACCTCAACTTTCAAGTATGATTTCTATGGCATTAATTTAATGTTTAACTACATAATATCATACCGTAATTCGTTCTTGTATCTATACAAAGACGTAATTCCGGCGGGACAAATGAGACAGGGTTTATTTTAATTTGTTACAACTTGTTACATGACGCGAATCGATAAGACTTGTTATCTTAAAAATATAGTGGACCAAAATATATCATACCTACGATTATACAGTACTATAGTACATATTATAATACAAGTCAAAACCCACTCGTCACACGCTTCACTGCACCAGAGTTGCAAATGTTGGAAATGTGTATTTAACTCGAATTAGGTTTTATGATAGATATAGCTTCCCATCGTCGTAGGTCAGTTTAAAGTTTCAGATGTGACTGATAGTGAATCACCACAAATAAGCGTGGTAAAATAACAAATTAAAAATAATTTTTTCGCGTTCACCGGCTCGGATGCTGCCTCCGCGTGTACCGAAACAGGCGTGTGTCTTAATTTTTGGAGGGAGACCGAATGTCATAAAGATTTGATATTCGCGCGCGCAGAGTTCGATGACTCTGCTGCCGTCGCCACCATCATAATATTATACAAAAATATTGGCTCTGAGGTCTTTGCCGCACAGCGCGAGGCCTTCGAAAGGTTATCTCACCGGCGGCGCCGCCCTCATCACTCCTACGCCCGACGAACACGTGTGTGTATTATATATGTATAGATGTAGACGAGTATGGTTCAATGATCACCATATACATAATATTAACCGTGTGCACGTGAGTGTGCATGTGTGTGTGTGTGTCAGTGGCACAGCGGAGGGGTGGACTCCGGATCCAGTCGGATCCCTTTGCACCGCAGTAGATATCCACTTTTTTAATATAATAATATAGGTACGTTTAAACATTTTTTTTTATTTTACCGACCTAGTTTATAACTTACCTATAAATCATGATTAATATGTAATAATAGTTTGTTATATTATGATGTTATTCAAATACATGTAATTTGTATAAAACTATGTAATGGAAATACATTTCTTGATTGATAACCACCCTCCTTCCCACCCACCGACCACTACGAACATACACTCGAAAATCCTGGTTACGCCACTGGTGTGTGTGTACATATTAATTATGACCTGTTTATATACTCAATATATTGTGCATACAACCCCATTCACTGTGTCGCCGCTGCCAGTGGCGTTATGTGTAGGTACCTACACGAAAAACTTATTTATACGGGCGTCAAATACCAATACGTAAATTAAATCACAAACAAGTGTCAGTTACAAATTACAATTATTATATTTATGTATACAATTCAGGATTTGGATGAAAAATATAATTTTCTTCAAAACTTTTCATCTACTTTTTGAATTTGATAACTCGATAAGTACCATTTACTTGTCTACCTATAATTTTCATTCCGTCTCCGGAACGATTTTAAAACATGATTCCCAAGATAATCTTATGTGAATCTAATGTGTACTGTGTAGTACCTTATCCATATTATTATCTAGTAAACATATCTGGTCTTGAAGTTAAATGCTTAGCACAGGAACATATGTATTTATGTATAATATATATCGTGATTCGTGGACGATATTCAAAGTCAAAAATCACCAGCGATATCAAATGACACAAAATAATTATAAATATTTGATATTTTAAAAGATGTGTTATTACCGTTGTTGACTGACATAAGATAAGTTATCCGACATGATAACCTGGATTAGTTGGATTCCTTTACATAATGATATGCTTACGCCACTGCCACTGCGCAAAGTGTATGATAGCCTATGGAGCGAGCGTTCCCGTGTGTTAGTAGTGAGTGGTGTGTGTGTGTGTGTGTGTGTGTGTGTGTGTGTGTGTGTGTGACAACAGTGTCTACTCACTATATTATGCTTTTATCACCAGTCCGTTAACGATGATGACGACAAAAACATCTAGAGTTGGTTCACTCGCCAAGGTGTGTCGACAATATAAATATCGCCTTATCATCGTACACGGACATACTACATGACTTGTGTACTACGACGTGCAATAACACAATTTTTAAGGTCCGGTTCGAGAATAGACGACCTCGAGACACGCGTACGAGTTTATAAATATTAAAGCCTAAACGGTACTTTAAAACTGTTCCAATAATGAGCAAAACAAAACTTTATTTTTCTGGGATCATCACGTAACAGTGTATTTACATCATGTCAACATAATGAATATTTTATTATAATGTAGTACTCTGACTTTTCTCAAATAATTAAATTTTTTAATTTATACAGTTTCATTTAGTTGTATCAAAACACTTTGGTGTATTAATACACTGTTTCGATTCGATATGCCACATAAATTAACTTATTTAGAATGGTTTATTTTACCTCATCGACATTAAAATATTAGGTTGGGTACCTTCATAAATATAATATGTCATAAACCACTATTTCGAAAACGAAGAAACCTTTCATCGACCTTAATACATGTGTAATAATTATAATGTGTTATGTAACATAATATAAGTGAATAACTGCATTTTTCCAGAATATATAATTTATACATAAATAAATACACTGTTTAGCTGTTCTTACACAAAATATGTAATGTGACATTATGGTATATACAATATATAGTACATAATATGTTAACAAGTAAATGTTTAAATTTCAATGAAAAAATTATAGGTTAAACCGTCTTGTTTTTTTTAATTGTCCACGAGACAAAATTATGTTGGCACATATCGATTGGAATTAAATTAAGCTGTTTACGGCAGTTTGGACTTAAGAATTAATTTAGTTTAAAATAGTAAAAAATATTGCATAATCATTGAACAAGACAAATATTAAGAGAAATAAAAATATATATGCGTAACATGCATTTTAAAAACAAATGTCTCAGGTTATAATATTATTTGTTAGTTGAAATAAAAACTTTTTAAGAGAAAATTATGTATAAAATGTGTAACTAGGACGGTTTGAACCTCCAAAACAACTCTTTTCCACCTTCCGAATAAGCTAAGTTAGTGCGATGTGGTAGAGTATATTTAGGTATAACTTATAAATCTTATACATTGTAATAGATTGAATATTCTTCTGTTGTACAGGAATAATGATCCCCGTTCAAGTGAGCTGCAGAAACAGGATCTACGTGTGATTTAGTAAGTCTGACGCTATGATCACAGAAATGACGACTAGCTCCGTACTGCCTACTGGGGGTGGCAAGATAAAACGTCCGAGTTTCAAATCTCGCGGTGGGGCTGGACAGCACGTCCACCGAACAGGAAGCTTCAAGGGTTACCAGACTATCCGGGTGTCGGTGCCGTCCTCGATGGTTGCCGAGCTGGCATCAAAGTTCAACGCGGTGGTGGTGGACGCCAACCAGGGTGACTCGATGCAGGACATCATGAAAAAGGTGAACAAAACACTAGCCAAAGGCTCCACGGTCAGGACAAAGGTCACTACAGTCCGGGAAAAGGGCGTTTTGGTACGTGCCACGGTCGAGAAGTTCGAGTCAACCTCGCAAAAAAAGCGTTGTATCAACCAGATGGTCGTAGTGCGAACCAACTCGAACCTGCGTTCCGTCTCGGAACTGCCTACTGCCGTGGAACATCCTACTGCCACAAAACAGCCAACAGCTGTGGAAGATCCCACTGCCATAAAACAGCCGACTGTCGTGGAACAACAGAAAGTCTCAGATAACCTGACTGCCGTGAAACATCCCACTGCCATAGAACAGAGGGAAGTTGAAGATCGTCCGACTGGAGTGGAACATCAAATCACCATGACACACCCCACTGCCACTAAAAATGAAGCAGCCGAACAGCTGAATACTATCAACCAGCACACGTCATCGTCCGTAGTGAAAAAGCTCCTGGTGCAGTTCGAAAATGGTAAAAAACCGTCGAAACCCAGCGTCCTGGGACCGAAACCTAACATTACGACTCGCAGCATTAGACGAAATGAACGGAGGCCAATGCTTCAAAAGGATACGACCGGCGCGGTGGACAGACATTTGTTGAACAAAGACAAACGGTTATCGATTGCCAGAGATCCTGATGCTCAGTTAGAGAGTGTCTTAAACGTGATGCCTCCGCCGAAAAACTTGCAGCAGCCAATGGAAAGGGAGGAATCGCTACCACGAGAAGACTTGAAGCAGCAGCCAACAGAAACAGCTTCGGCCAAGTCACCGCCGCCACTACCGCTGAAACCTAACTGTTCCTTTCTGCATGGTTGGAAACGGCCGACGACTTTGACGACAACCGCTGCTGCCTCCACTACCCCTAGTACAAATTCCACAGCTAAAACTACCCCTACTACAACTACCACCCTTACAACCACCCCCACTACAACTATCCCCGCTAGAACTACTTCCACCACAACTCCGCTTGCCACAACTACCCCTGCCAACAATATAGATGGATTACATAACGTCGATGAGGTACGATCATCCCAGCTGCCGTCGTCTCACACTGACTCCGTCATCGCGTCCCTAGCCGAAGCTACCTTCACTGCGACTGGTTTCGCCACAGACACCGCTGTCGATACCACTGCCGAAATCGGTTCACACAACTACAATTACATCGTCGGTGACGAATCCATCTACGAGGAATTGGGGTACATACGACTAACGTCAACCGACTCTGGCAATGACACCGCAGAATCGCAGTTGCCAAATGTCGTGTTGGAGAGTCCGTACGTCGCACTAGAGAGTCCTTATGATCACTACTCTACGATTGATGGTGGCGAGCACAACATATACGACGTCGTTACGACTGCCACCACTGCCTACGAAGACACCAGCTACGAGACTGTCCAACCCCCGTTACCCCCAATACCGACGCCACCGGTCGTATCCGTCACAGTCGTCGACGCGTCACCGCCGCAACTTCCGGTCGAAGGCGATAGCGACGAAAACGGCCACCATGATACAAAAGAGATGTTTGATAATTCGGTAGAAATTGATAACAGCATTTATGGAATCAATCCACCGTCGGAATCTACTTCATCCGGTAATAAAAACAATAATTTTTCTTCATTAACTTACGGAACTTCAAAAATTGTACAGGTGCTTTAATATACTTAATCAATTCCAATAATCCAACAACACAATTTTTTGTTTATTGATTTAATAAAAGATTCCTCATAATTTATTCATACCGTATTAAAAAAATGTCGAAAATACAGTCATCATTATTGTATAAGAGATTAAAAGTTTAAATTTGTTTGACATTTATCAAAATCACGAAAATTTGCAAATTATTTTATAGATGAAAATGAATACAGTTTTAAATTAAATTTTTTAGATATGAAATTAAGTACAAAATTCTTTATAAGTTTACTAATGGAAATTAGAAAAAAATTAATATAGTGTTAAATTATTTAACATTTTTATGGGCGATTGAAATTTTTACGATATTTCATAATATTATTCAAACATATAGTATAATAACGATTAATCCACAACCAATTTTTGTTATATAGTTATTATTCAACAAATATTTATTATAAAAAATTGAAAGTTGAAACACTTCACTAGGTACTACTTGAAATATCATTTATAAACTGAATGAAATTTTTGAATATTGTTGAAATATGTTTTTATGCTTGGTCAATATAATTTTAAATTTAATTCAAAATCTTAATTCAAAATGTAATAAAGAATAACGGTTTTAGTTATTTTGTTATAATTCAAAAATATTATTGGTTTGTAACTTTTACGTATTACTTAATTATTATTTACTATAGAATAATATTTTCTAAAATATTGACACAAATATGTACTTTTATAATATTTGATAAAATAAAAACTTCTATGTTTTTAACGAAAATTAACTCATTCTATCATGTTATTACTAAAATTAAAATAAACTTATAATAACATCGATAGAATTATAGAAATACATTGTAAAATATAATTAGTAATACATGCGATGATTAATTATTAAATTCAAATTGAAACCATCTATTAAAATGACTAGGACACGTTATACACTTAACACAATGTGCCATAATGTACAGCAGAGCAGTTACCTACTTGCTTACTTTTTTAATACATAATTAATAATCATACTGTTTCAAAGGTATCACATCCGATAGCGCCAGTGTGGACAGAAACAGTAAATTTGACGAGGATGATGGTTGGGTGGATGTTCCTTCATCTGAAGAAATTATTTTAATACCGTATCCGTGAGTATATTAAATAAATAACAATAATTCAAACTTTAAGTTATATTTTTGTCAGTATATTAAGTTGTGTATACGAAATAAAATATAATATGTTTTTCACTATTAAATTCAATGATTAATATTTTAATTAATATTACATTTTAATCAAGATATAATATTGGGTTTTTTTTTTGAAATTATTATAATTATCTTATGGATTTAATTCAAATTTAAAGTAATCTAAATATTATTCTACGTACATTGCAATATAGTTTTAATATAGATAACTAGTACTTACCTTAAAAACTGTCTACTGTTATACTAAAATTAAAATATTTATTATCTTTGAATAATAAATCTCTAATAATATTAAATCTCATGTTTTTTCAGTTCCAATAGATTTCGTCAAAAACCAAAGATTAAGAAGCCAAATTCAAAACCATTTTCAAAACTAATTCATGGGCTTTTGTACAAAGATCAAAGTAAGTTATTATACTATCAAAACTATCGAATACCTAATGTATTTATAAAAAAAAACATCAAACGCCTTAAAACATACAACACTGGCAATATGTTATACTCATAAGTATATATTGCTATTAGTTATTAATTTTATTATTATAGTGGTTATATTATGGCTGATGCTTATGGTAATTTTAATAAATTAAGAACTAATTAAAGAGATGTCATAAATTACAATAGCTTACGAAAAAAGTATTTATCATATCGATGTACAAATACAAAAATCAGTAAAATATATTGTACTTGCAATAAATTGAAATGATTCAATAATATCTTTTAAATTTATAAGATTAAGCAATAATTAATTTGTGACGGAAAACCGTGCGTTTTTTGTGCGTTTTGGAAATTAGTAAAAATTATGAAAAATGCATTTCAATTAATCATATTTTAAATAAACCTACTATTTTAATGGAATTACTTATTCTCGGGAGTAAATAATAATAATAAAAAAATAGATAAAAGGTGACTTACAGATTTTTAAACGTATGGCAATCATTATTTAAAGCTAAACATTTTTAAATATTTTTTTTAACTTATTTGAAATCATTAAAAAATTATACTTATCAGGAAAAATAAAATGTTAAATTTATTTACATATTATTGAACGGCAGTATAAGTTTTTAATTTTATAATCCAAAAAAAAATAAATAAATATTTTTCGGAGTTCTCTGTAAAAAAAATTGAATTTTAAGCTAGTTATTATTTAATTATAATTTATAACTTACCAAGCATTTAAGTTTTGATTGGTGGAGGGGAATAGTATAGGGATTTCTTACCTTTAAAATGTTTGGAAACAAAATTGCTTGTTTTAAATTTGATTTTTATGATGAAATTCTTCAAAAAAATTATTGTTTAGACTGTTTAGAGTATCATACAAAAAATATAGTTGTTGCTCAAAAAAATTAAAAACTTTAAAAAAATTTTAATAGATTTTTTTGGAAATTTCCTACTTGCATCACTAATCATTACCGATTTTCTGTTAAATCAAATAAGTTTAGTTTTAAAATTTTAAAAAATAACTTATATGCTGTATAGTAGGTTTTTGAGTATACCTCATCATAGAAATAACAGTAATTAATGTGTTAATTTGAATTATATGATTACATTGTTGTATAGGTACGAAAAAAAATTTTGAGCCAGCCTCAATTCCTATTAAGTTATTTTATAATTTATTTAAATTAATATAAATTAATAATTAATTTTCCTTTTAGTATACGGTATGTCGAACTTATATTTTCCAAAACATCGCAATTATAATAACTATTATAATGATGTATTTACATCATGATATTACTTGCATTATTGTTATTAACTTATAAATCAACATAGAATGATTGAATATTATATTCATAATGAACATATCTTAAAAACTTTGAAAATTGTATTGTGTATAGAGAATATAACATCATACGTAATGGTAAAACGTTTTAAGTCCCTATGATGTGTACTTTTTAAAATTTTTGAATCTAAAACTAGTCTTATATAAAAATTAAATTACTTAAAAAAGTTCTCACTACCGCCAAAGTACCAACTATATTCAATTTTCTATCAGAAACCTCTCTTAAAGTTGATTGTTAAAGCATTTTTCTCTTATATAACATGATGACAGAGACAACAATAAAGATTAAAACAAAAAACACATATCTTCGTAAAAGAAAATACATTCATCGCTTCACTCTGATTCTAAAATACAAATACAAATTGTATTATTATAAATAAGATTAAAGATACATTTTTGTCATTGAAATATCTTGACCAAACTAGGTTGGTAAATTTGAATATAATTTTTTAAACAAAAAAACCGGTTTTGTATTGCATAGTTTTTATTACCAAGGCCAAGATCAGATGGTATAATCCAGGTGGACTTGCAATACATTACGAAAATTCGTTTTAATGTCATATAGGTAGCTATTTTTTTCCACTTTTAAATCTTAGATTGTCAAAATCAACTGGGTTAAGAATCATTTGTATTAAACAACCTTTTTATGCTTTTTTTCAATTATTTAATCATGCGCTTATTCAAACAAGGTTATGCAAATTTAGAAAATGAATGCGAAATATATGTATCGAAGCATTAAAATGTCCGATGATTAATATTAACAGATATTAAATCCTGTGGAAGGTTGATTGCAAACGAATGTACTCATTTTTAGTCTTCACTTATTGTGTTATGATATAGAAAATCTATTTTTGCATGCTATTATTCAATTTGATTAGTTTAAAACTGTATAACATTGCACTCAAGTGCACCATCAATACAATACCTATTATACAATAGGTATACCCAAAATGTCACAATAATGGTACGGGGTGGTGGGATCGATAGAAAACCAAATAGCTCACAAAACAATGCGACTATACGAGGTTAAGCGACGACCATTATAATTAAATATGTAGGTACCTACTTTTAAGCTCCAGCCTTGTGACAAACGAATTTCTTTTCGTTGGGAGAGGATGTTAGAATGTTGTAATTCGATTCACATGGCATAAATGGTTCATTCGGATTTTTTTTTTTTTTTGTTCACTGTAATAATTGAACTACCACGTGTGCTATAACGATGCTGCTATAATAGTTCAGCAACACCGCCGCCGTTGTCCATAGGAAACATGCCCACGATAGTGATTCGTTAAATAGCGCGCGGGTTTGGACAAATGTTTATGTAATTCGTTGCCCGGAAGATTATGTTGATTGTTGTGTGCCCGTGTGTGCGTGGGTTGTGACGAGATAAAAATATAAGAAGAAAAAAAACGAACAAATTAAAAGGAGAAATACAAACCTGTTTGCCCTCCCAACCATGTAAAGTATTCCTTTTCTGCACGAGAATAACACCATGTATTTCTCCTACTCGGACAACACTCCCACTTCCATAACAGTCCAAGGTCTGTACCGTCTTATCCGTCTCCTCGTCGACCGTCGTAAGACACGGGTAATCGAAAAGTGAAAGTGCTGTGTACTAGACGTGTAATCACCAACGACAGCAGTGTTTGATGCAACGTCGTTACCAAAAGTACGAAACCACCGCCGCGGTTGTTAATAAGTTAACCATTTAATTTTGATCAGTGACAAAAATGAGTGATTTATACGATAGGGAAACGATCTGCCGAGCAACCATCTGTCATGCCATCTTCCTATTATTGTAACTCTCAAACGCCACCACCTTTACCGCCAGCCAGAACTCAAAGGCGCAGGAAGTCACTATTTGTTGATAAAGGTTTGATCTCACCCCCCGTAACGGTTATAAAAGCACACGACTCGATACGTTGATTATCTTAAATTAAATTAAAGGCACTTACTGGCTAAAAGTAATGTAGTAGATAATAATAGTTATAACAGTCAATTATGATTTCAATATTTCAATATTATCTTTAAGACTCAACTTACTATATTACTGATATCATATTAAAGCATTTACGTTTGTCATTTGTTAATGTTTTTGGTTTTGCTTATTCTGACATTACAAATATTTAATAATTTAACTAAGCAAAGCATTAATACCTCAAAGTAAACGATAATACATCATAAAAAATACCTCATATAACACCTATTTGAATTAGGAAAACAAATACCGAATCAAGGCAATGGGAACTGTAAATTATTAGTTATTGTATAAGATTATGACTGCATAGTAGGTTATAACTTAATAATGATTAATGATAATTATTAAATATTTTTGAGGATGACACATGAGTGTACACACTTGAAGGTCGTATCGTGGGAAGAAAAATATTGCAAATTATCCTAACCTAATAATATTTTTTGATTGTTTAACGTCAGTATTATTTACTGCTATCTATTGATAATACTTTAAATTGTTATAAATTATAATTAATTTCATTATTTTTGTTAGTAGTTAGTATTTAAAATATTTATAGGTGCTGAGTTATAACTTATGTAAAATAGGATCTTAGTATTTTTTGTGAAAGGAAAGAACATAATCATTAGGTAGTTACACAAATATAAAGTTATCTAGATGAAAATATAAATGAGTGCCGTAATCTTACCGAAACAATTAGCCAACTGTAAATAATCGAGCGTGTGCTTCAACTAACCATAAAATTTTGCATTTCTGAAGACACGCCTTTTTAACACATTTAATTCTTTAGTTTCTATATCGTCACAATCCGTAATTAGTTTCATAAAGGATGTCCCCGAACAGCTTAACAACAAAAAAAATCCATACGATTTTCTAAGTGAACAACTGTTAAGTGTAGTATTGAAGACAGTTTTCCTCGAAGGGAAATTTGAGTCACAAGAGCTATCTTTATTTTTTGATAATGGTAAGTTGCATATTTAGGTACTACTAATAAGCTGTTTAGTAAAGTACTATAAATATACATTTTATTTTAAAACCATTCGCATATTTTACATTTGTATAATTTATATCGATTCATTTAAATAACTTATAAAATATATATAATTTATAATACGACAGTGTAGTTGCTGTATTGTTGTATGAATTATATTCTGGTATGAATCTACCATTTTGATAATAATATAAAACAATATATTTTATTTATTTCACATACCTATCTAATATTTTATAAAAAATAATTTGTTCATTAGATATTGGGAATACTGTAAACCAAGAAATACCGGAGAATATCTATGTTTTCGATTCATTTAGCTCAGATAATTCTTCTGATGATGACGGAGAAAATGTCAAAAGGGTACCCGAATATCCATGCAAAGATCGAGTTTTGCCAGCCCCGCCAAGCGATCAACGAAACTACGGACTTGGCCCATTGGTCAATAAGGCCAGGAAACGATTTAAAAAAGGATGGTCATTTGGATCACTTAAGTCGCTTGGAAAAAATCGGATAGGAAAATTAAGCCTAGGAAATTTAACAAATGAATTTGGTGAGTAAACATTTTGAAGTCTGAATAATAAACATATTGTACATATGAACATTTTTTGTGGTATATAGATAATAGAACATATGAAAGCACATCAGATAAAAGTATTGACAAAAGTTTCAATTCATTGGCGAATAGTAATAGTCCGTCTTCGTCTGTTTTCTATATTCCCATATATAAACATATCATGTAAGTATTCAAATTTAAAATTGAGTGTTAATTATGTATGTCATATTTAATATATTAAATCGAATGCAATACAATTAATATAAAATGTTTATTCACAGAGATAATGGTACGATTCGGCCTGTAAAGATTAGAAACAAACCACCATCGTCTATTGATTCGAGACGTCTAAGTGTAGCTGTTGCAAGACCTAGTTCACCGCCACCTCCACCACCAGTAAAACGACATTCCACTGGTAAAATTATATTATTGTATTCAATTTATATATCAACTGTATTTGGACATAGATATTATAGTTTGACAGTGGAAATCACTTGTCGTGGTAACCCAAATCGACATGACGACATCAAAATAGTGATTTTAACTGATAATAATAGTCGATAAATAAATAATAAATACATATTTCCCTCAAGTGCTCCGTGCCTCTCGGCGAATACAGTATTTGCTTTCGATTATTATAAAATGATTTAAACATTTAGACTTAAATTAAATAATTATTGATAACTCGCGGCTGGCTTTGCCAAAAATACGCACACAGACACGACTTAACTGAGCGGCTTTCTTTTGATGTAAATTGTATACCGTCTACTAGGCAGATTATTATTTCAAAATGTCTCCACACAGCATCCAAAAAAGCCTTTGGAAAACGAATTTATGACGTTACAAGTCAAATTTTAGAGCCGTCTGGACTGGCTTCAAATAACTTCAAATCATTTTTTTCAATAATATTAACATTTTAGTCGCTTCTATCCTTTCGCAGAGAAATTTTATTTTGTGGATAACATCACTGGCCTTTACGTAAACAAAAAAATAAATAGGTACACATTATTCTCAAGTAACATAAACCTAAAATTATTTTTTGGTTGAAAACACGGTCTTAGAAGATCGAAAGATCATGAAAATGTTAATTAACAAAATATGCAGCATTCCTAAAATAATTATTGACATATTTTAGCCTCCCCTGAAAAGTTTCATTTTACGTCAATTGACTTTTCCATCATAATGTGTAAATAACTCTTGTATATAATATTTTAGGAAACACCACTTATGGTTCATTGCCTCGTTCAATTTACAATTCTAAAGGAAGGCCAGGCAATTCGTTGGACAAGAGCAGCACTGAATCAGCATCCGAGAATGGTATTATTTCAAATTAAATCATTACCTATACTGTAGTTTCATATTTATGATAACTCAATTTATTCCACAGGTTCCAATCATGGTTCTGATTTGTACATGCGATTTGCTGATGAACCGTTATATCAGTTTTATGCAGCTGATATATCTGAAGTATGTTTTATTTTAAAACTATTATTTGAAGATATTTGTATTGTATACATCGATTTCTTATGTAGGTACCTATTTGATGATATTAATAAAGAGTTTTAATTGTTTTTATAGAGAACAAAAAGTGTTTTTGCCGGTGACATTATGGAAGATTGTGATGGTTATGAAGAAATTAGTTCAATCGCAAGTAGACCATCAGCTCTAGAGCTTATAACACCTTGTACATCGGGTCATGGGCAACATAGATCTTTATGGTGTGAAGTTCCAGAAGTAAAAAATAGTGGCATTATAGGTAAGTTATTTAATAACTATAAGAAATGAAGAATACATAATAATATTACTTATGTTATTGATTTTAATAGACTCATTAACACCAAGAGAACGAAAGTTACAAGAAGCAAAGTTTGAATTGATAACTTCTGAAGCATCTTATTTTAAGTCTTTAACCGTCCTTGAGAAACATTTCATAAATAGTCATTCAATGAACGATGATACAATATTAAGTAAAAAAGATCAAAAGATTCTATTTGGAAATGTTAATCCAGGTAAGTACTTCACAATATGTTTATTGTGTATGAAAACGATTGAAGGTTGTAAATTGTAATATATTTTTTGTTTTAGTACGGAAATGTTCAGAAAAATTACTGGCGGCATTAGAAAAATGCTGGCAAGATAATATACTGCTAAGTGGACTTAGTGAAATTTTATATACACATTCTAAAGAAAACTTTGACATTTTTGTAAAATATTGCTCAAATCAAATTTATATAGATCGTACTTTAAAGTCATTGAGGTAAAATATTTTATTTTAAATACGCATTAGAGCAAACATTAAAGAACGCTTAACTTTATTTTAGAGAAAATCAAAAATTCAATGAAGCCTTACAAAGACTCGAATCAGATCCAAAGTGCCAATCGCTCTCTCTTCATTCGTTCCTAATGTTACCTATGCAAAGAATAACTAGATTACCTCTACTCGTTGATGCTATTTTATCACAAATGGATTCAAAAGAAAATTCTTTGGAATATCAAATGTGTGAATTGACTTTAGCTTCTTTAAATACTGTATGTATAATATAAATTTGTTTCAACTTTACTTTTTTTTTTTGTTTAATAACTCGTTAAATTTTTTCTTTGCATTAGATTGTACAAAACTGCAATGAAAGTACTAGAAAATTAGAACGTTATGAAGAAATGTTGTTACTTAGTCAACAATTAGAATTTTCTAGTAAAAAAGAAATGAAAGCTATGTCAGTAGCTTCTAGCTCACGCTGGTTAGTTCGTTCTGGTTCTATGTTGAATTTGACTGTTCCTGATGGAAAATTAACATTTAGCCGAAAAATGATACGACCTACTAAACTTTACTTTTTCCTATTCAACGATATGTTTTTCATAGCGAAACGCAAAAGGTATTTAATTGTAAATAAATATGCCTATAATAACAAAAATATTTACACCTACATTTTTACAGTGACGGAAACTATACAGTGGTAGATTACTGTGCAAGAAACTTTGTAGAAATGGAACATACTGCTGAATCAGTTATTACTTCATCCTATAAGAATCTTTTAAAGCTAACAATTTTAGAAAATCACGAAGGAAAGACTATTGAAATGGTATTTAAGATTCTCTTTCTAAAATCTAGGTTTAAAACATGTTTGTTTTGAATATTGAATTAATTTTACAGTTATTAAGTTGTGATTCTGAATCTTCAAAAAAACGTTGGATTGAAGCAATGTCACCTCCTATCAGTTCCAATCCTGAAGAAACGCTATACAATGAATGGGACTGTCCACAAGTGTTTTCAGAACACCCGTACATTGCTATCCAACCTGATGAATTGTCATTGCAAAATGGAGACATTGTTAAAGTTTTGACTAAAATGAATGATGGTAATATTTTTACTGCAAGTTGCAAACAATTTTTAAATGTGGAAATTAACAATATATTTTTGAAACTATTAATTTATTATAGGATGGTATCATGGGGAGCGAATTCGAGATGGTGAGAAAGGTTGGTTTCCTGGTAATTACACATCAGAAATAGCATCACAACATGCTAGAGCAAAAAATCTTAAACAACGTTACCGTTTGTTAGCCATGTCTGGAAGTTACCTGCAGTCTCGACAAGATAAAATTAAAAAAAAAAAAATTAGTCAAATTATTTAAACTAAATAATCGTTAAAAAAAAATTCATCATCTTAAAAATAAAAATCTCCTTAACAAGTAGATCAATTATTATAGAACAAATTTTTATTGTTAATAATATGTTCTGATTTTGAATTAGACTTGTAATAATATATTACCTATTAGTATTTAATATAGATCAAGTATCAACATTTATTCCAATATATATAGGTACAAAAAAAAAACAAATAGAAAATTAAATTTAAACCTAGTAAGAAAAATGTTGACTAATTTTCTGTAGAAAACAAAAAATACAGAAAGATACTTTCGATTTGACTATTTGAATTATGATATTATGTTATGTTTAATTTACCGGTTAATTTATTTTGTTTATGTCAAACTATTTATCCTTTTTGTACTTACCTTGACAAGGTTAAATACTTAACCTCGCTCATTTAATTTTAATTATAAATGTAAATAATTATTGTTTATGATTTTTTTTTTTATTATGTATTATTGTTACTGTTATTTACAATTATTGTACTTTTTATGATTTTTACTTCAAAATAAATTATAGAACATTTTATGCTTATCATATTACATTTTGGAATGTGTATTTAACATTTTTGGTTTAAAGATGTTTTGAGGATACTCCTAAAAGGTCATTCAATTATTATGTACTATTTAGTTATTATAGAAAATTCTATCAATATGTTTCAAGTGTAGGCACATCAATATTGAGTAAGTCACTCTAATGAATGTGTTCAATTTGAAATCAGTTCATACCTGCAAAAAGTATGATTCTGGGTTCAGCCGACTTCAGATTGGAAACAGTGAGTTAACCTATATTTCTAACACTATTCTAAAATGTATTTATGAAGAGTTTACACATTTTACCTTCACATACCTAAATATAATGTTGACCCGACAGAATTCACTATTGGGAGAGTTTACTAATTTAAAAATTATTAGAGTTTACCGCCGCACATTATACTATTTAAAGGTGTAACTACAATAAAATAATTAATGGGTTCCAAAATATAAGTCATGGGTCTCCCCACCACCAGGCAACACCCTCACGCTATATATTTTCTTAAACCATTAGAAAAGATTTGATAAATTAAAACCATGGGTAGTGCAAGTGCACATAGGTATATACTAAATTATTGTTGAATATTATTTTATATTTGTTTCAAATTCGAATCAATTAAAAAGTGTATTTATTATTTTGTTCAACATATAACTCATATTCATTGAATAAAACAAAATACAAATATAATTACCAATAGTAATATTACAATTTACAAAATGCTGGCAACAAAAGAAAATTTTATCTCACGGTATTTTTGTCGCCCTGTAAAATTACCTCTCGATTCATTATATAATACAGTAGGTATATTTGCGAATAGAGCACAACTTACGAGTGTCACTATATGAAACATTGTTCACAACATTTAAAAGAAAGATGCAAATAGATAGCTTAAAATTAAACTAAATAAAATAAAATTAAATTGTTTACCTACCTTTATAAAATGATAATATTATAATAGATAATGTTTTTTTGGAATATTACAAAATAATCAAAACCCTCATTTTAGTGAATGTATAATTACATTTTATTTAAATTCCAGTAAGAACTTATGATGGTTTTATTTTATAGTCTTAAGTATTAAGTATAAAACTAAAAAAGTGGCTGAGCGGATGTCGCACTGCTTGTACAGTAGGTTACAAATGGGTCACTGTAAATTGAAGGTGATAAATTTGAATTCAACCATATAAAATCTTTGTAGGTATTGGGTAAACGATTCTGAGCGAAGACGGTTTATCAGCCTATAATATTACTTAGCAATTTAATATATTTGATGATATTATTGTGATTAAGGTAATTTATTTTACTATTAGGAATTAATACAACAGTAGCTTAAATTTATTTGTGTCAAAAAAATTACATTTGAAAAGTTATTGTGTGTATAAAATATAATTATGTGCTGTAAAAGATAATATGAAGTTTTAATAGATATTTTTTTAATAAATTTGGATAAACTTATGAGGAATCTTGTATAACATTTTCAAATCTTAGATTTAAAAAGAAAATTTTTTATATAAATTTCTAACTTAAATAGATCTGCTAATTTTGGTGATTCTTACGTATTTTGTCAAAACTTGAAATTAACTCTTATAAAAAATTATTGTAAATTTAATCTATTTTTTTATTCATTTCCACCAACAATAACTTACAAAGAACCTTGAATTACATTTTCAAGTCTTCTGACCTAGCAACATTTTTTTTATTGATGGTAATTTTTTAAAAAAAATAATAATAATCGAAAATTTCAAATGCCAATAAATAGCTTAACATGAGTCAATATTTTTGAAAATATTATGGTACATAGAAAATGCTAATATTTAATGAAAGTTTCGTATATCAACGGTCATTTGTTTTAGAGTTACACCAAACAATTCTCGTTTTTTCTTAATTTTTTGTCTGCTTTTCCCGGCGCTTTTGAAAACTACTTTAAATTTTGACCTCCCGAATGCACTAGATTCACTTTCCCAACTTAAAAGATACTGATGTTGAAAATCAAACCATTATTTCTACTACTTATCGTGTAAACAGACACACACATAAAAAAATAAAAAATAAACGCATCTTTGTAAAATCAATACATTTATCTCTCCGCTCATAATCTAAAAAGTTGTGAATGTATTTTCTATATTATTTAACTACTACTTATTTGTATGGTTTGAATACGATGTGTGAGCGTATGACTCAAACGTGACGATACTTTCTCAATAAAACCCAATCTATTAAGATGACGCTTCACCCGCATGTCTCAGTCTTACAAACATGTTACAAAGCGTTACATAGCACATTTTCGCTGGCCAGATCACGTTTAATTCCGTTAGTTTAAAAATCAGAGTGAGATATTATGAAACTTGATGGTAAGAACATTACTAACTTGCGTTCTTATATGTTGTTTTTTACGATAGTTCAATATTTGAACAAGTTATGCGTTTATAATATTATAGCGTAAATTAAAAATACTCATAACTCACTTAAAATTGAACTATCACAAAACCCCAAAATAGGGACATACATAATGTTCTTACCATCAAGTCTTATAAAAAGTCGATTCACTTTAATTTTTAAACTAAAGGAAATAAACGTGTTCTGCTGAGCGTAAATTCGCAATGTTACTCGTTTGTACGACAGAGATAACACATGCGGGTGTGGCGTCCTCTTAACATTATATATATAATATATAACATAGCAATTATTAATATCATTATAAGAAGTACTTATTTCACTTATTAAGTAGGTATAGGTAAGTACTACCGGTATTATTTTTCATTTAAATAAACAATAAATACAATGTTTTTTATATTCTTGCTAAATTAAACAGCATTTCTGCGAAATACTTCCGAATGTGAAGCAAAGTTTAATGTGGTTAGTTAGTTAAGAATGCATAATATAACTAGCTCACATTTTTAATGGCACAATTTTGTAGTGAAAGAGTAAATAGAAGACTTCCAGGTGATATACATTTTTTTCAGAGGAATAATTACTATAGTTGATACTTTGAAAAGATTTCTAGTGGACAGAAAGTGAGCCAATAATATTATTATTCACGTAAAGGTATTAATCAAATTGAGAGAACGTGTTAAGAAGAAGCTACCAGATCTATGGAGTAATGGCTGGGTTCTTCAATAAGATACTGCTCAAAAGATTTATACAATGGTACAGAGCATTCTCAGTTCAACGTTTTGTAATCGAAAAAAATATCTGTACTTTAACCTCCCCCCCCCCCTATTCACTAGATTCCGCTTTTTATAACTTTTACCTATTAGTTACTAAAAATTAAAAGTTCGTTGAGAGAAATCTATTGTCATTCGGCTGATGGCGTAGTATATGTATCTTTCGCTTAGATAAAAACTGTAGAACTTTTTAAAAAGCTTTGGATGATCGGCAGGCGGCAGGTTATTTTCAAAAATGGCAGTGTCGTATGCGACAATGTGTAGATGCTAAGGGAAATTAGTTCAAATTACTTTGAATATAGATAATAGAAGAATCTATTTCGTATGATAATCTATTAATCTATGACTAAATGTAATGATCATTAACTTGTAAAATTTTAAAAATAAACCACTTTCATCGAGAAAGTCTTGTTATTTTTGGGCAACACTTAGTTTGTTGTTTTTCACTTAACATTTTTTTAAACTTAATAGTAGATTAAAATGAATACAATACAATATTGTGATGAGACATTTAATAAAAATATTTAATTAATTATTTACTAAAAATAATTTATTAAAATTAATTCTTGCAACATATTTTAACTGTAAAGGTCTGCTTATACATATTTTTTTAATAACCCAATATGATTGTAGTGTATTGTATATTATTTAGAACTAAAATTATTTAATCATACGAGTTATAATTATTATAACATATTTTATAAGTTATACCTAACTTGAAGTATTACAGATTAAATTACTCAATATTCAGTGACTCCGTGTCAAATATAATTACTAATTACTGTTTGTAATTAATGTGGGAAACAAATATTTTACCACCCACCTATTAAACTCTAAATAATTATTTAGTTATGAATTTAGATAATTATGTTGCTATCGATTAATATATAAATTTAACCTATTCACTGAACGCACCCGCATACATAAATGTTATTTGACGTCAGTATAATAATATAAAATATTCAATCAAAATTGTGCAGATTACTATCGTTGAACTTTGACGTAATATCGTTAATGGACAAAGAGCATATTTATATTATATTATTATGTATCGTGTCATGGCGGAAACGAAATTAGAGAACAAAACCTTGTTGTGCCTAATAATGCTATTTTGTTGCATAAGTAATATAGGTAATATAATAAATATTAATAATTCACTGATTCACATTGGAATTCAATGATAAGAAACTGTAATGTAATATTTCCACTGCATAGGTTTTACAACTAGAATGGACCAAAACTTCAAGAAAAAATGCCAAAATTAGGTTTTGAAAATTAAAAAAATGGATGGTTAGGTACAGAATTAAAATAAATCTCATAACTTAAGGCTGGTAGTATTTTTA